GCCATCCTTTATACATATTTATCTTGTAGATTGTAGAGCACCTTAACCCCGACCGTAGCTGCTACCTTGACATGGTGATCAAGCTTGCCTATCATGATAACCCAACCTAGCTATGTTCCTGTGGGTTTTACAATGCAAGTCAGGTCGGTTGGAGAACGGTGAGACTAAAAGCAGCTACTGAAGGTCTGAGGATGAAGTCGTACTGCTGACTGTAGAGGGGTGTGACAGCAGTAAGGTGTTTCCCTCGGACAATCAGCATCTGCAGCGATGCTGCCCTCTCACAAGGAAGGAAGGGATTAGAAAACGTCAACCCTAAAAATGTAACACCTCACCTTAGCTTACTGATTTCCGTTTCCAGTGGTGACGTAGTGAGGGAAAACACAGGTGGGGCAACCGGATTGTATTTAACGAATATTACGGAGTTACTCAGTAAAATCGGAAAACCATATCGTAAATCGTTCATTTGCAAAATATCAGTCCGTCATATTGAACTGGACTGTTCCTGTTGCAAAACATCAATGCATTGTCACTATTGATGCGTTTCATACAAATTCCATTGTGTTGCCACTCTTCCTTTCTTGATCTTCCCCCATCTTCTGCTACCAGACATTACGTTGACACTCACGTCATATACTACTTATAAGTAGCTCGCACCACAGTAAGGCCATTTGAAAAGCAAAACTAACACTTTAAAAACTTCTCATAAAAAAGCCGTGCGTGACCGGCCTCAAGCAGTTGTCCCTCTGGGTCTGCAGTCACGCACCCACGTCTCTAAGACCAGCACTAATTCAACTTCTTTTGAGGGTTCCGTTCCCGATATGGGCAGCCGGGAAGAGACATCCACCCTCAGCACGCGCGACCAAATCGGTCACAATCAACTTCTTCCTAGACCCCCTAAAATCTTACCGATTTCCACAACTAACCCTTCTCACATTCACTAGGCACAACTAATGCAAATGATTCAAGTGCACGAAACGTTATTCGTGGTCTCTTGAAACCCCATCCTAAATTACATGTTGGAGCTATTGTTGTTCGAAGCTTGAGTCAAATAGGACAATAGGCTTCCTTAGCTAGGACCCTGGAATCCAGTGCCATCGATATATGCTGCGTCTCCAAAACGCGCATACAGGACCCGAGCTAAATCATTAATTTGGTCTCACTGTATCCAAGTTAGGAATCAACTCTTTTTACGCTCTACGTTTCTAGAAGCCCTGCTGCTTCCCGTGGCCTAACTGGTGTAGGTATAGTATTAAGTCGTCGGGCAGAACTAGCTCTTCCAGACTGGATCCCGAAAGACAGTCGCTTATGGTTTGTCCGACTAAACGGGACGGTACGGACTCGGAAGGATAGGGACACTCGCCGTCGCCTCTTCGTCGTATTTGCCTACACTCCCACAGATTGCAGTTCAGACGAGATAAAAGATGGATTTTACAGAAAGCATTCACAACTCCTCCAAAATTTTAGATGCTCTGATATAATAATAATGGCTGGCGAATTTAATGCTCAAGTAGGTAGACTAAGTGTAAAAGAAAGACACCTCTGTTGATCTTATTGTGTCGTGGCTCAAAGATCAAATAAAGGTGACCGTCTGCTACAGCGGTGTTCAGAAAATCGCCTATTTTGATCAAACACTAACTTTAGGCATAAGGTAAAACACTTTTTGACCTGGCGACCCCCAAAGCCTACCCAACGATGGACCCAACTAGATCACATCGCCATCAGGTTCGATAGAGGACTGTCGCTCGTTCTGGGGCACATGTTTAGATTCAGATCATGCCTTACTGCGAGCGGATATTTGTTTGAGGCTTACTGGACGTAGGGAAGACAATGCAAGAAAACCTCTTAGGGTTCTACTTAATGACAATAAAGCTAAGAATGTATTTCAGGAGCAACTAGAAAGACAGTTAGACGACCATGTAAGCGATTCTCATCCGGAGGCAGGTTGGAATGATATCAAAAAGGCTGTGGAAACAGAAGTGATATCTGCTAGTACGGTAAACCCTAAGGTTAGGGAGAAGCAGTGGTTTTCAGTAGCATCTACCGAAAAGATAGATACTCAGCTCTGAGGAGCGAATTCAGCTAGGCGTAGGCTGATAAAAAGCCTATGCAACGATCGCAAACTGGGATGAGTAGCGAAAGCAAGAGTGATGGAAAAGGCACAGGCGATAAGCGACAGTAGGCGACTATTCAGACTTATCTAGGAAGATGGTATTAGGAATCCGACTGTGAGTGAGACCGTCTCGGTAAAGGATGGGCCTATTATTCATTTTCAGTCCGAAGAATTAGGTCGATGAGCAAAACACTACAGGGAACAGATCAACTGGCCTTCAGCCACACTTCGATTATCCAAGATGCCCAGCGATCCTGAATGGCAAATCCAACTCTATAGGAAATGGAGAAAGCGACAGAAAGTCTGAAGCAAGCAAGCAGCGGGTCCTGATAGAATGACCCCTGAATTTTTTAAGGATTGTAGTCCATTTTTTAACAGTAGGATTGATGGAGATCTTAGGCAGAATCTAGGGATAATCCTGTCACTGATTGTCTCTATTTATACAATAGGATAAAAGTCCTATTGTGACAATCACAGAGAAATCAGTTTCACTAATATAGTATCTTGAATATTTGCCTCAATAACATGTCAACGCCTAACTAGAGCTCGTGAAGAGGAGACTAGAGAAAACCAGGCTGGCTTCAGACCTGGACGTGGATGTATGGACCACATATTCACACTACGATAGGCCCAAGAACACAGACACACATTTAGGCGTCCGACAATAGTTGTCTTCCTGTACCTTAAAGAGACAGTTGACTCTGTTGATCGTGAGGTTCTGTAGCAGTGTCTGTTATTAAAAGGTATACCTTATACGAGCCCCCAACTTGAAAACTACAGGTCAAGTGAGAGCTCGTCGTGAACTGTCATCGAAATCGAGTACTTCAAGTGGTGTTCATCAGGGATATCCACTTTCTCCATTCTTGTTTAATTTTGTCGTAGATACGTCTTTAGAGACAGCATTATACTCGGCAGAATATGCTGATGACATAGTTCTATTTGGTGAAGACGCTGACAAAATTCAGCGTCTCCTGACTACCATAAGCGACAATGCAAGCATGTTCGGGATGCAGTTTCCCCCTCAAAATGCAAAACGTCGCTTCAAAATTGGCTTGCATCAGAACCTCAACTAGTGGCATGGAGTGAAGCAGTTAGGCGCGTTAACCGTTTCACTTATCTGGGGAGTCTCGTCAGTGTTGATGGCATGGTGACTGACAAAATCTCGGCACGAATACAGAAGGTTTGATTGGCTTTCTCCAACTTGCGTCACTTATGGCGCAGGCAAGATATCCGTTTGCTAACCAAAAGATGAGTCTGCCAACAGCAGTGCGCTCTGTACTACTTTATGGATGTGAAACATGGTCAGTAAGAGTTGAGGATTCTCGTAGGTTATCAGTATTCGATTATAGATGTCTTCGAAGTATTGCTCGTGTATCCTGTTGCAACCGGGTAAGCAATGCTGTTGCTAGGAAATAAATACCAGATAAGGATGGCAGGGCAATAGAGGAAGTTTTGCAACTTCATCATTTGAGGTGGTTGGGACATGTGTTACATATGCCGAACCACCGACCGCCTAATCGAGCGATGTTTTGTGGTGTAGGGGGAGGTTGGAAGAAAGTTAGGGGCGGCCAAACCAAAACATAGCGAAAACCCATGAAGTCACTGACAAGTGGACTGAGTCATGTTGGTAAGCATAGACTACCTGGTTGGGGTCCGCGAGATGAAAGTAGCCAATACTTAGAGACTTTGGACGACATGGCTCAAAATCTTTTGCAACGGAGTAGGTGCATCCACTCTGCACTCTCAGCAATTCTAATCTTCTGAATTCATCATCCCCTTCCCAAATTTATTTCACTGAGTTACACTTATTGAATAATATCTCCGATCCCTAAGCTTCTTTATTACCGTTAATACTTTTACTATCTCTACTACTATGGGATTTGAACTGACAACTGCGTCTCTGTGCTAATGTGGTATGGCAACCTGAACTTATGTACGTATGTACGAAGTTCTACGTTGTAACGGACCAATTGACTGAGAGTATGTTAACAAAAATCATGTGTCTACTAATGGATAGTCAAGTGTGCAACAAATGAAGGTTTAGTGGTTGCTTATTTTCAATGAATATTTGGTTGGTATTGAAATGAGTTGAGAACCATCTCCACTTTTCTATTAATATCTAGCCAACTAAGATGGTATGTGTAATAAAGTTTAAATCAATTTAAATTTATAAAGAATTTTACCGAGTAACTATTCATAATTTAGAATTTTGTGAAGCGGATATTGCGGAACCTTGAATGTTTACACCTATTTTTACTATGTATCTACTGATCGTATTACGGTATTTCTGTAATGCTCTATATATTAGTTATTGTTTAATTTACAAACTGTCAATATGCGTTTCACTAACCTTGAATTATCACTGATTCATTACTAACCGTTTGTTTTGTCTTCTGTATCTTTCGGCTACGTTATGTGTGAATAAACTAAGACTCTTATTTGAGGTCTAGCAATTCACGTACATAGAACCATGGCTGCATGAGATGTATCAATGTATTTGCCTACTTGATCTGCTCTACCTATGACTGCATACCGGACTACAGGTTATCATGTGCTTCGGACTAAGTGGTGTCCATAACTGTCTTGGCTAATACTTAGAGTGAAACTTTGTCTGTTAGGATGCCATTGATCAAGGCTAAAGTTGTTAGTACGCAAATAAAAAGTATACTTGGATTGATGAGTTATAAATTTGATTCATATTGACGGGAGATATCTCGCATTTCAACTAGTGTGCGTATAAAAACTCAACAACATGACATACATCATCACATTCGAATGAATACAAATATGTAGAATAAATGATTTAGAGCTCATTTTTCTTAGTTTGTAGTACCTTCTATTTCTTTTGAATCAACAAAAAATTATCGGTAAAATATAGTTTACTATTCACTGGACACTAAGATGAATCACCAAAAATCTATGAACAAATACAACGAAACGTGAAGTGCGATGGGAAAAGTTATATTGTATTTAAGAATAACAAATTTTAAAAACTTCGTACATTTATAATACAAACATGTCAATTGTTAATTTTTTTAAAATTTGTTTCTGCCTATCATAAATCCCAAGTGATAATAAGTCACTTGGATTCTCACTAAGAAAAACACAAAGAGCTCTGTATACGGAACAGAAGCATGTAATTGTACATAACAGTGGATTATTTACTTATTATTGACTGATAATTTTAAAAAATTTGTTGTATAATCCCATAGTTGACAAGCTAGATAAGAGTTGAGTGAATTATCAGGCCAATCAATAGGTATACAGTTGTTATACAGCATACCACTACCAGATGTTTCAGCCGAAATAAATGAAGCTTCATTATGTTTAATAGGAACTTGATCACTAACTGCACAGTGAACAACCGTTTGACACCCCTCTGAAGGAGATTTTAAGAGTAGTTGCATTAAGCCACGAATAAAACGCTGAGTTATCGGTGAATATACCGCTAATGTATTTCGGAATAAATTGGTATTTACCATCCCTCCAGTAAATAAACAATAGACATCAAGTATTTTACTATCACCTGAACCATATCTCCGATAAAGTTCACGTGAGAATAAATTACACGCCAGCTTAGAATCAGAATAAGCCTTACTGGAATTCAAATCTGAAGTAGTAGTGTATGGTTGAAACAAATCTTCCGTTGTAAAGGTTCCTTTTTTAGATAAAGAAGAGCTCACAACAATTACTCGAGGATAAACAGATGTTTCGTGATATGATTTTTTAAAGTAAGGTAAAAGTAACGAAGTCAGATAAAAATGTCCAACATAATTAGTCGCTAAAGTGACATTGATATCTTGGAAATACTTCGAAGAACGAAGGGTTTTGGGATACACGCCGGCGTTGTTGATCAAAATATGAACAGGTAAAGGTAAAAATCGTACAAACTCCTCAATCGTTCGTGGGTTCTCCAAATCCAAAAGTCTTACAGAAATGTCATGATTACCAGTGAGATTTGCAATTTCTTCCTTAACCTTGAAGGCGGAGTCTAAATTTCTGAAAAATGTAAAACACAGTTGAAACAACATGTGACTTACCTGCAACCTAAGGTAAGTTTCCAATTTCTTTTAGCCAATTCAAATGCAGTTGCGAGACCGATACCAGAGTTAGCTCCGGTGATTACTGCATGTCGGCCAACAGGGGACAAACAATTGCAGATTATTGCTTGTCTCCGAACTAACCATCGCATTATTAAAATAAAAACAGTACTAGCAGTAGCACTTATTCCGAGAAACCACAGAGGCATGTATAAACAAAACAGCTAATAGGAGCACCATTTCGAATATGTACAAAATTATGTCAGGTGGTAAGAAGCCTACTTTAAATGCAGATATAAATCACCCGAATACAATCATAGGTAAAACTTCAGACAGAAGATACATCGATATTTTACAAGTCATTTAATATGTATGCATAAAGTTCCAAACTAGTGTAGAAAATATTATTCAGCTGTATGAGTGAAGAGACTAGACGCTGAGTCGTCATATAACATATCGACAAAGAAGAACTTTATTCATCAAAATCACAACTACAAAAGCCGACAATATTCAGAGAAATTAGGTCGAAGTCGTCTGGAAGCATTTGTAGTAGATTAATTCAGCGGAAAAAATTTAACGTAAAAAGATAAGCGGAGCTGACAGTATACCCATGAACAAATATTCACTATTACCAGAGGTGATTTGGTGCTTGTTCAATAAGTTAACAGGTCACTTTTACGTGGGTTAAGGTATGATGACGATGATGAATTGGCTAATGGCTGCTCTTTCATACAATTAACAAAATATTAAACTGTTGCAAGCACTGTGGCGGTTCGCACCTTGACAGAGGGTACTTTGTATATTAGGGAAGCATGAACAGTAGCATCGGCGGGGAAACTGAGAAAGGAAAAAAACAGAAGAGATGAGGCAATGACCAAGCAAGCACAAAAAATGCAGTTACACTTATCAGGGATAGCATTAAACAACAATTAGTAATCACAAATGCTTCAAATTCAAACGATCTAGAAAGCGAAATAAGGGACAAATGGCGTGAGGGTTTGAAACCATCATTGAAACGGTCTAGTGGTATCATCCATTTATGGACGTTGTTGAGCACTAGGATGTCAAACTGTTTTAAAGCGATTAGTGCATCACATAGACAATTTATAGGATTTTCGAAAAGCGGTCAAATCAGGAAAGTTGCAAATTAAGTTTTAATTTTGCACACTACGTCCGATAACCCCTATCCTCCAAGAAATTAAACTGATGTTACTGCAGGGCCTGAATGAACCCAACCCACTTGAGGGAAATTCTCGGGCAATTTGTGGATCAGCCCAATCACCGAACTTCAAATTTTACACAGAAACAAGAGGTGTGACCCTGAGTAGAATGGCAAATCCAAGGTCGCAGTACGTCATACTCTTACTGATATCACTAACACTTGATTCATAAGAACAATGTTTCACAAGAACCAGTGTCTTATTCTGAGAACAGGTAGGTTGATGGGTTAGAAAAGAATCAAGATTTTTGTTGAGGACATTACCGATATTCAGATCTGTGTGTCCAGTGATGCTTATGACGTCAGCATCAATTTTGGAGACTTTTAAAGGATTTCAATAAACTTATAGCACACTACCATCGAAGGGGTAGTGATGACCCCAAGACCTGACCAGTCGAAAGATTAAACCCAATGTACATGTCGTTGGTAAACACTCTTCTGATAGATTGCGTCGTACAGCAGCGCCTAATCGTTCTATCCAACTCAAAGCATCCATATGGTACACGATGGTGATATGTCGAAATGTACATAAAAATTCGATGTGTTTGTTTTCTGTCTTTCGTCTTCTCCAGTCGTCTTAATAAATAGGAGAGTTAGAATGCAATGCATGTGTTGCGCGCGCTTCGGAATTGACGTGGCCTCGTTGTCTCCCTTCCATTTACAGAAAACAATCCCTTTTGGACTTGAGATTGCTATATTTAGTCATTCTCAAAGATATAAAGTTGTCTTCATTCACTGGTTGACAATATAAGCAAACGGAATCATTCCAAGTCAGAACCATTGAGCAGTAGGTCTAGCTGTCCCGATTAACTGTTCTATTCCTAGTTGCTTCGGCAGCATACACACCGGAAACAGAACTTTTGGAAAAGTTGCTAGATCCACGTGAAGTTACTTATTAGAACGGTTAAAGGTAAAGTTGCAATTTCGGAGTAATTTCAGGTTCTATTCCTTGTAGTTATATTCATATACTACTAAATTCTTTCCTCAGTTCCTATATCGCGCATTTCCTAACTTAATTATCTCGCCTTTCACCTCTGGTATCATGCCATGTAATAAGGTCGCTAGCACAGCTTACACTATAACAACCAGGAAAACCTGCAGAGGTATGAACCCTTGGGTCAATAGTGAGTCGAAAATTCCAGTTTCGAGAGACACGGTTGTGAAAAAACTCAAACCGTCACTTGAAAGCATTCTTCATATCAGTGTCCATAGTTCGGACCACTCGACTCAAACACCACTAGGTCTCAAACAGCGGAAGAAAGATATTACTCCTCCGAATCCTATTCCTAAAAAGACCAGTAGACCTAACTAACACACCGTTAAAGCAGTCGGTTGTTGTTAATCAGCCAGTATCTGTCAACAGTATAAAAAAGTGGGCGAGTGTGAAGAAGCGGAATGGCAACACCACAAATCACAAACGGCTACCACTTGAGGACAGGGACGATAGATTTCATTGAATGTCCCAGTGTCGGAAGATAGCTTGCTAGAAGGTAGGGCTGTATTTAGCAAAGAACAGTAGGATAAATACTGCGGAGTTGTCGGAAGGTGTAATACCCAAGCAAAAATATGCCGCCTCTTCAAAGGCCAAAATACCTAGAAAGGCAGACCTCTGCCAATGAGGGTGAAACAGGACTCGGCACAACTTGCCGAAGATATCCTCCTCTCATTTCAGAGACCGTCGGTTAAATTGTCCTCTCCGATCCGCATCAGGCACAATAGCCAATGGTCTGTACGAGCGGCAGCCAGGACAACACCAGTTATCCGAGATCAGACCGGCAAGGTAGTTCACGTCGTGCCCGAACTGGCTAGTGGTAACTTTGATGAAGTTCACGTACATGATGTGCAAAAGTAGCAGTGGCTATCAAGTAGCCTGCGCCTTCAAACAACGATGGCCACTTTCATTCATAGGCTGCCTCGCCCGTCACATCTCACGTCCATTAAGTCTGATGGCTGTGACATTCAGGAATCGGGAAGACCTGAATGAAGCATTCCAAGCGTGGTACAGTTCGAATGACGACCCTACTAGCCAAATTAGGTGTTGCGAAAGCCGACAGCAGAGAGGCCAAAGTAAACGCACAAAGTTGACGGTTGACCTCGAACAACAACCCCTGGCACAAGACACGGATATGATAGCCTCGCCGAATGAACTCACTGCAGAGACTAGTTCTCAAAGAACTGGTCAACTCGGTTTGAATAACTTGTTTGAAATCCGACAACGGCTGTTTATGCAGAAGTGCACCAGGTGCTGAGACAAACCACCAAGTACCTCTACAGCAACGTAAAAGAACTAACAGGTAAGCTGTTAGAAATCAGGAATATACGCTCTCAGATAGATTTGCAGATCCTAATCCTATCTGAAACATGGCTATCACCTGATATTGCAGACGAAGAAGTGAGTTTGCAAGGCATGACACTCTTCCGAAGCGGTAGGGTCCACCAAACAACAAGCGGAATGGCTATATATATAAACAGCCACCTAAAAGCCGAGCGGCTATAGGACACCACACAAACGGCACGAAATACTTGATTGGAGGGGTTTACCGGCCCCCCTCAGGTTCTAAGGCTTAGAAAGACAAATTGACTGAGGCAAAACGGCAACTGCCACTCCTGGAGTTTGATCAAACACTCTTTGCTGAGATTTAGAGATGGGGTATTGAAATCCCCAGCTAAACGTGTACAACTCCCAACGGTTGCTTCCAAAGATGACTTGGCGCATCCACTAGAGGATCTGGGCTGACTTAACATGTATGCTCTGTCACTAGATGGAGTCGGGATGGTAAATCCTCAAACCTGGATTATTTGTTAACAAATGATCAGCTCCTGGTCGAGGATGTTCATGTCCATACACCAATAGGAAGTAATGACTATGTCACAGTCTTGTTTAACATGGTCATAAACGAAACACTCATCCAGAACGAAAACAAGCCCCACCCTTGCTACGCTACGGCGAATTACGCGCGCATATAAGAGAACCTTCTGCATGCCCCATTGCTACGAGAATGGGGGAAGCTGACAATAGATCATCACTGACAAACAATGAGAGACATCGCTCAGAATGCTGTCCTGGGCAATGTATCTCAGTCACGCCACATAACCGGGAATAGAAGAACGTGGGTTAGGTGCGGGAATGAACGCTTGCTACAGGAGAAGAGGAGGGCCTGGTACAAGTGGAAGGTCGCTTTGAAGGACCCCAACCGCAGTTCGAACCTGGCGTTAAGAAACGGATGCAGTGACAAAGTTGGAAATGATAGGAGACACTTTCAGATAAAGCTAGCTGCCAAAGTAAAGGCCAACTCTAAGCATCTGTTTCGGTTCATGAAAATAAGAACACCTACAAAGCGTGGTGTTTGCGCTCTCAAAGGTCCAAATGGCGAAGATCCTAGAAATAGCTAAGATCACCAACACCAACTTCACTCATCAGTTAAACTAAGTAGCTACACATTCACAGTACTGCTCCGACATAGTGCCATTGAATCGCCTAGGTAATAGTTGACTTACGTAGTATTACCTAGTATTGAGCAAATCAAACTCCTCGCGTCCCAGAAATTCACCATTATGTGGCGATATTCTCCCCATAGTCTTGCAACAATGTGCAGAAGTGCTCTGTTCACCGAAATGTGACCCGTTCAGGCATTCACTAGAGTCACACCTACTCCCAGCTGAATGGAAACAAGCTACTCTCTCCAATCTTCAGAGGAGAAGATAGAAATGACCCAGCCTGTTACATGCCAGTCGGATTACTACCAATACTATCGAAAGTAGTATGAGGGCTGATGGACGAACAAATGACGGAGTAAACAGACAGGAACAAAATACTCCATGAAGCTCAACATGGGGTCGGGAAATGCAGGTCATGCGCATCTAATCTTTTTATGGCATCGGACAGTTGGACATTCTGCTTGGACCGAAAAATACAAGTGCAACGTATTGTTTCTCGACTTTAAAAAAGCCTTCTACAGAGTACCCTAGTACGCCTAATCGCAAAGGTTGCGAAAATGGGCTTCACCTACCCGCTCGTATCTTGGCTCAGAAACTACCTTGAGAATAGAAGGTTTCGTAACAAGGTAAATATAGTGCACGCGAGTATCCACACCGGGAGTTTTACAGGGGGCCATCTTAGGTCCACTTCTCTCCCGGATATTTATTAACGACCTATTAAACAGTTAACTCGCCGGCATTGATCTACGCAGACGATGCGAAGATTTGGAGGTCCAGCGAGGAGGATTCGACTGAGCTTCAAAAGGATCTTACATCCATTAAAGTATGGGCATTGAAAAACGGTTTAAAACTAAACCAACCGAAATGTCACGTCATGTACATTCTGCACCATATGTCGCGAACGATTTAAGCCGTCAGTGGAAGTCTGCTCCCTGATGTCTCCTCAGAGCGCGATCTCGGTTTGATAACCACTGACAGCCTCCACACAATTCCGATACATGTACGAGACGCTGCCAAGGCTAATGCAACTCTTAACTGTATGCGAAGACAGGTTGTGCTATCACCCCTCAATTATTCTTAACATTATTTAAGACGTGTGCACCCCCACACCTTCAGCTTCACCACGTCGTCACACCCCCTCTCCTTAAAAGAAAATAAATCTCTTGGATCGAGTGCAGAGACGAGCAACCAAATGGGTGATAGGGTTGAAGAACCAACCTTACGAAGATAGACTCCAGCACACTGGGGTGATTCTCCTTGAGTTACAGGTGAATCAGAGGTGATCTGGTTATGGCGTGCAACATAGTAAGCACGCAGACCATCCCAACGTGAGTATCTAACTGATGCATCACTACCACTCCCCTAGAGACAATCCTAGAAAAGTTGTGCATCAAAGAGCGAATACTCATGTTCGTGCACAATTATTCTCATCCAGAGTTGTTGCAACTTGGAATGCTCTCCAATCCGAGATGACCGCAGCCTCCTCAGTAGACAGCATTAAGAAGAGACTTGATGGATCATCATCTCCATCTCGAACCAGCTGTGCCTGATGCATGTCTTGAGATGTTCTAGTCGTCATTATTCCCATCTCTTCAAATCACTAAGCTAATCTATCTGGCTCATTATATCTGTTTCCTCTCCCTTGCCCACACTTCGGTCCTCCGTCAC